AATCCAATGAATTTTGAGAAGCATTGAGTGAAATACAAAGCACACTGAAAACTGCATAAAAGTTTATCTTCCAACAAGGAAACATCTTGCTGGTAGATGGACAAGATACACCCTGCAGTTTCCAGATCTTGAAAAGGAAAAGATTTGCATTCAACAAACTTGCCATCAGGTCTCTTTACTGCCCCAATCACCATATCAGATCACCTCACTGTCTTTTGCTCTTCTGTAGAGTTTATATATATATGTTTTTTTTACTATTATGGTCTCTATTCTTAGCAGAATTCAAACAGAACCTTCCCAATCTGGAACTTTGAGATGCAGTCTTTTTATTGAACAACTTGCCTCCTTTCCATACTCATATCGCTGCATTTTTCCAGTCCGTGTCTAAAAACAAAACAACAATCTACATGGACAATTGTCTTTGCAGGATTATAGTAGCAATTGTACTACCTTATGTAATGTAGGCCTTATGCACACTTGGTGACAGAGAGAATGCAGCATGTAGACAGGGTGTCTACATGCTGGAAGTTACGTACTGATCTTGGCAAAAACAGGGTTCCTAGTGGCTGACTCGCACGCAATCAGGTCATAAGCTAAGAGATTTCGACAGCATCCTGTCAGGTAGGAGCAACCTCTGGCCTTGACCAGTGGAAGAGAATTCTGGGAAGATTTCGACAGATCATCCGGGGAATCAAACCTGGCCTCCACTGAACCACCAACTCCCTCCAATGCACCAAAATGTTGGAGGTTGACCTGGTAGAATCTCGAAAAACAGGACACCTTCAGTCGATTATATCATTTGCCCACAGGACGGGGGAAAGTGTTTATATTGAGAAGACATGCTGTCCTCAGTACAATGTAACACAGCGCTTTACATCACATCAGACAATCTCAGCTTTTCACAACTCTTATTCTATTTCATGCTGCTTTTATAGTCTCCACATCGCACTATGTAGATGTATATGCATTAACATCATTTGTTTAAGATAAAAGTGGTTGGATCATATTTTAATTTTAATTTTTTGTTTTGTTTAAATACCTAAAAAGCCTTGTAGCTTTACCAGCTCCTACCTAGTCTGGCACCTCCAGCATTTTTATCCCTTCACTCATTGGTTTCATTAGTTTTATTGCATCCTGTTTAGTCCATATCAGTGAATAAAGTGGTTAATCTGCACAAAACAGGCCTACTTTATATTTATTAACATCATTCTGATCACCTTTGTTTCATCTCCACCTGTTTTGGGAGCATGGCAGCAGACACACTAATTGTTTTATCAGGAATCCTTCTGCAGTTTACGGTAATAAAAATGACTTCACCCTGATATAAGGGCAAATTCTTAATAGTAAATGGTTTATTAAAAATAACAGAATTTTCATAATCACAGCAGGTAATTGGATATATAATTCCTCTCCTTGAGAAAATGTGCACATGAAAAACAAAAACAAAACGGATTTAATGGTTTAAGAATCTGGCAGTTGATTTATTTTAACACTTCATGCTTTCTGCAGAGATTTGTTCCTGCAAACTTAACATAAATCTTGAAACTTGCTGTATGGTGATGCATGAGGACAAAGTTGGAAGTTAACCACAGACTGTGGCAAACATGACAACAAGATGTGGGAATCGAGGAATCGTACGGGAAGAATCCCTAATCGCTAGAGATGAGGCCAAGTAGCTGCATTGCCTCACCCTGGGAACCAGTCAGAACGCTTGTGTTGCACAGATGCTTGAAAGATAAACACGGCGGGGTAAAGTACACCAACCAGTTCCCATAAACCATGCATTTTATTTGGAGGTGACTTCACCTGTGACTATTGCCTTTGTGTTTGTGCAGTAAAAGCTGCAGCGGTGGGGGTGGCCAGGCCAACTCAGCCGCATGTTATGGGGTCAAATGATAGGCTTTTTTTTTTTTTTTTGGAAATCTGCGAGCAGGACTCCCTCTCTAACAGGCTTTTAATGTTTAACTTTGCACGTCAATAAACCATCGACAAGTACAAATCAATCATTTCTACATCTGCGAAAAAAATAAAAATGGTGTTTGTTTTTTTCCTTTCAAAACAGTTTAAGGATTGCAAGCTGATCTGTCAAGCCTTATTAAAATGTATTTTATGAGAAAGAGCGACACAAACTAATGAATAAATATGAAGCGGAAGGGAAAATTATTGATTTCAAATAGTTGTTTTTTTAAACCCTCTTTTTTGGAGCATTGTATCTATCTGTTTTGCATAATCAGAAATGAATATATATGTAAAATAGCTCAAGCTCAGGCAGGCTGGACAGACTTTGATTTTTAAGAATGAATATATTTAGGTCTGGTTCCCCTGTGCCGTAGCTCTGGTTGGATGTTTAGGGGTTGCCATCTTGCTGCTGCAGCCTCAAATCAGCTTTTCTTACAGGATTCCCTTAATTTAATTTCATCAATCTGTGTTTTTAAGCTAAAGAAAGGCCTCCCTAAACATGATGCTGCCACCACCAAGCTTTACAGTGGGGATGGCATGTTCAGGGTGTTTTACAATGAGGTAGAGGAGTTCAAAAATAGGCTTCCATATGTCTGCCGTGCCTCTCTGTAAAGATTTCTTGCTTTAAGTCAGACCTGTTGAATCCAAAATGAATAGTTCTCCTAACATCACAGGTTTGGATCGCTGTGTCTCATTTAAAATTTAGAATCAAGTCATTTTGTTCTTTAAATAAGTGCATTTTACTTTGATTCAAGCAGAAAGGTAAGAAAATATATTAATTGGAATAAGATTATTAACTTAAAAAAAAAAAAACTCCATTACTTACTGTCAAGTGCACAATATCTTTAAATTTTTTAATGCAGAAAATACTCATTCCTTTGGCAGATCATCTTATATAAATGCAGAAGTAAATACACTTATTTCAAGAACTGTTTACCTATTTCTAGATACGTTTTGCAGTCTTATACTAAATAAGTTTCTCAGGCTGACAAAAGACACCATAACTGATTAATTCCCTGGACCAATTTAATATTATACCTTTACCAGCTTTAAACTTCAGTTGTATCAAGAGGATCACAGTTTGTCAAATCAGAGGTCTGTATCTTTGCCTTTTTGACTCACTTAACATTATAAACTTACTCTGTTTTTGGGGCTCACCGGCTCCCCTTGTTAAAATTGGTCAAGAGTAGGGCTGCAACTAACGATTATTTTACTAATCGATTATTCTGTTGATTATTTTTTCGATTAATGGATTAATAATCGGAAAGCCAAAGGTTCCTTAAAGAAGATTTTTTACAAAATTAAACCAGGTGAAACTCAAACTTTTCCACTTGAGTAGTTCTGGATAGAACATATTGACAGATTAAAATTATTTTTATCTTAAATGCAAAACATTTTTTTTTACAATTTTGGTATAATTGCTGCTCTAATTGAGTTGCTCTGTCAGCTAAAAGCATTATTTACAGTCTGTTCACTGCAAAAAATAGAAATCTCAATAAGTTATTTTTTCTTAAAATAAGTGTGTTTTTCCTTGACTTGAGGAGGTAAGTAAGACACTTTGCCAATGGAACAAGACAATTTCCTTTTAAAATAAGAAAAAACTATTTTATCGTCTTATTTCAAGTAAATATTATCTAACTATCTTATTTTAAGAGTAAAAATACTCATTCCATTGGCAAATCATCTTATTTACCTGCTCAAATTAAGGCTAAATATACTTAATTTAAGCCATTTTTTACTTATTTCTGGATTGTTTTTGCAGTGTTTACGCCAAATTAGTAGATTATTTCAATAATCGGTTAATCACGATTAATCTGATTAATTGTTTCAGCCCTAGAATAGATTGTTTACAAAGAGATAGAAGAAAATGATTTAAAGGGTGTTTATTTATGGTGTTTATAATAGGGTGTTTAGGGTGTTTATAATATTTTTTGCAAAGCATTGCATGATTTTGTTTTTCTGCAAATCTGTGCTTGCACTTTCAGTTAGCTCTTGTTTTTCTGGCTTTCTCTCAAGCGTTTCGTGTGACAAGTGGCCCTCTGTCAGACAATGTCCCCTTCAGAGCCACAAGTGAATAATTGACTTAATATTTTTTTTAATGTTTTGTTTAAATACCTAAAAAGTCTTGTAGTTTTACCAGCTCCTACCTAGTCTGGCACCTTCAGCATTTGTATCCATTCACTCATTGATTTCATTAGTTTGATTGCATTCTGTTAATTCCATATCTATGCATAAACTGATTAATCTGCACAAAACAGGCCTACTTTGAATTTATAAACATCACTCTGATCACCTTTGTTTCATTTTCACCTGTTTTGGGAGCATGGCAGCAGACACACTAATTGTTTTATCAGGAATATTCCTGCTATTTAATAAAAATGACTTCACCCTGATATAAGAGCAAGTTCTTAACAGTAAATGGTTTATTAAAAATTACACAATTTTCATAATCACAGCAGGCAATTTGATACATAATTAATCTATTTTTGTTTTTCTGCAAATCTGTGCTTGCACTTTCAGTTAGCTCCTGTTTTTCTGGCTTTCTCTCAAGCATTAAGTGTGACAAGTGGCCCTCTGTCAGACAATGTCCCCTTCAGAGCCACAAGTGAATAATTACCTTGCTCATGATCTTTTAGGACACAACACACCGCCTGTGCTTGTTTTTATTTACAAATACAGAAACAAAACCAGTGCGCACGATTCTAAATTGTTTTTCAGAGATTTACATTTTTAGAGGTTAGGTGCAGGTTCCTATTTCTTTTATTTTTGTTCTGATTTGTGTTTTTATTTTTTTAGACTTGCAGGCAGCATGACAGGTGTGATTTCCCTTCATTTCTGCGCTTTCTTCACCCTGCGAGCCTCAGCAAAGCCCGTCTGGCGCAGCGCAGTCACGCAGGAATGTGGTTCAGACCAGAAACAAGCTCGGAGTATTTCTGAGGAACTTCTAACCGCCAGGAGCGAGCTGATAGAAACCCTAACGGCTCCACACTCTCTGCCTTTCCGCTCGGACAGCGCTGGAGACGTTAGAAAGTTTAACCCACCTTCCCTGCTCAGTCCGCCCGTCGCTCCCAGCAGAAGGGCTCCGACCAACAGCAAACTTCTCGCCGCCTCCATCTCAGTCCATGTTTCCAAACGTGGATGTTTTCTTCTTTTCTTAATAAATGCGAATAAGGGAAAAACTCTCTCCTTCTCCTCCTCCTCAGATGAAGCTTTTTTTTTTCTTCCACCCAGTCCTGAGCTGAGTTGTAGTCCAGACTTCCTTCCTTGGATTTCGTGCCTGTCGGTAGTAAAAGCGTGGACGCGCACAGGAGTAGAGGCGCGCTCCCGTGAAGGCCGGGACAGGGCGTGGCTGGGTTAATATAGCCAAACCCCACTCCACTAAAAAATGCGACACATCTGTCCATGGCCGGTTCTAGACAGGGGCCAGTGCCCCTCTAGATCATGTCCTGGCCCTTGTAATGGCCCCTGAACTGAAGACATAATACAAAGAAATGATATGCGCTGGAACAGACATGGTTACTGATAGGTCCTTTGGATCTATTTCATGTTTTTTCTTTTACAAATTCTATTTTACTAATTATTTAAAAACAATAAGGTAATAGCGTCAGTGGTATGGAGATAGAATCCCAGTTTTCATCTGCTAAATGTTTTTTTTAAAACATAAAAAAAAAATGTAAAAATTTTTACAGCTGAATTTATTTGTTTTTCTTGAGTTCTATTGCAGATTTTATAGAAAACTGTAATTTTAACTTAAATTATGTCCAAAATATGTAAAATTTCTAAAAGATGAATATATTTGGACCTAATAAAAGATGGGATATTAACCTATTTAAACCCACGGGGTCGCCGGCGACCCGGTGGACCTTATGTGGGGGTAATAACTCAGAATGCATAAAAGCAGAAAAGAAACAATTACGTGACTTTTTTAAAAGACAATTACGGTACTAATGTTTAATATCTGTCCTAATATTTGTCCTTTTCTCAAATAATTACCCTGTCATTTCAAAGTCAATGTTATGAAATGAAGGGAAAAACTTTCTCAAAAGAAAATAAAAACATTTTCAGTGGGTTGCTGACATTTTTCTTAAACGACATCAAAACATACATTTCTGTTATATGTAGAGTCGATTTATTTTGGAAATTCAATGCAGTTGATCTGTGGAGAGAATGCTGTCCACCACACTAACCAGCATGTTAGTCTATCTACTTTTCTAAAGATTAGTGCATCTTCATCATTTTTAAGCCAAAGTGATGAAGAGCCAATATCAACTGTCTAAGGGCCACAGTTTGCAGACCCCTGGACCAGAGTGCTGTGCAGCATTGAGACCCAGGCAATCCAGGATTTTTATTCTGATGAGGAATATTTTCCTACACTAGTTTGCTGGTGGTTAATATCAAGCAGAGAACCGGTTTTACTAGTACGGAGTCCACAGCTAGATTCTTCCACCCGAGCTGATGATGTTTGCAGCTCCCCCACAGTAACTTCTTTGATTATTGCTGATTAATGCTGTCACTGATCAATCTGTGTGTTTAGGTGGACAGCCATGTTTTTTTTAGCTTGTTATCATACTGTTATTCGTAATGGATTACAAAGAATTCCATGTTGTTTAATACCTACCTGTGTGCTTTTCAATCCCAAAATACTTTATATTGGTCACTAAATATTCAAATAAAATGCAACGGCCAGATGTGGAAAAGATCAGTGTGTGAATGAGGCTATAAGTTTAAATATATAGAAGAAAGCTATAGTCAGATAACCATGAAAAAAATTTAGTTTTCTTAATCACCAAAATCTTTACTTTAATTCTAAAGTATTATGGTTCAGAGTGATTAAATTGTTCTAGAACACCGACCTTCCCAGCATCCCTGGAATATCTGGATTTAATATGAACCTACTTTATCTCTTTCTTCAAGTATATTATCCATTACATTTAAAGTTTGCGTCCTGGTTGAATCATCAGGCCATTAGTGTGAGCGCCTCTGTAATAAAGTGTTGACATGCCTAGTTTGTCTTCTTGCTCAGTGATCAAACTGTAAAAATCTTGATTTCTATGCTACATGGAACTGCTTAAACCTTGGCCAGCCCATCACATTTACTCCTACCTTGGATGAGCGTATCAACAGCTCATCCAGAGAGCTCAAAAAACCCAGATCATTTATAGCTCTGCATGGCTTAAGGTCAGAGTTTAAGGTTCAATGAAAAGAAAAAGGGACTGGGCTAAGTTGTAACTGTGGGAGAGCACCAATACCTAATATATTTAGTAAAGGATAGAAGACCCCAGGACTTTTACTGAAACGTATTTTCAGCATGGATATTTTCAGCTGTAATGGGATAAGACTGTCCCAATACAGCTGGCGTGAAAATAATAGCATTTCATAAAAAGACCTATCAGAACTCAGAACAGAAGGATCCAGAATTCAGGCAAGACAGACAGTTCATTTAAAGACAGACTGTGGATCTGCAGTATAAGCGAATAGGGCATCTATAACAGGAACGTCTATTGGAGAGAAACACAGGTTAGCAACCACGATAATATGATGGAGGATGATTATGAATGCATAAGTCACTAACCTGGTTTTACAGTTCAGTCCATGCCCAGAGAACGAGGATGATTCCAGCCAATCGGCTGACGAGACTCAGCGGACGCTTCCAGAGTGTTCCAGATGTGGAAGCCTAAAAGACTGCAGTGCTGACAGGAGTTCAGACCCGAGGCAACGAAGGAAGGCAGGATAATCCACAGGGCGAATTCAAGAGGCAGATCCAGGTTCAGTCCACAGAAGAATCCAACAGGATTTCGAATACAGGCCAGGAAAAAAGATCAGACTGGGGCAGGCAGGCTCAATGGTTCAAATACAGAAACAGATCAGGATCAGGTAATCAGAACGCTGTATAAATGCTATGGAACTCTCAACACCGAAGGCTCAAGAATAATCTGGCACTAATGGCTGGAAACAGGCAGCATAAATAGGAGCTGGAACAGGTGGATCAGATGAGCAGTGATGAGAAAACAGGGCAAAGCTAGACAAGTGAATGTGATGACGAGCAATCAAGCCAGCCATCAGTGCCAAAATCATGACAAGAACAAATTATAAAGTAACTCAAAGATTGCCAATCCTTCGCAAAGTATAGGGAAACGGTTTATTGAAAATAGAAAAATTCAGCTATAAACCGAACATCTGGGTTACACAGTGGTGGAGGTGGTACCAGCGGTGCCTTGCAACTAGAAGGTTGTAGGTTCAAATTCCTGCTTGGATGGGTGCAACAGAACATAAATACATAACAAAATACATAAATGCATAAAATACATAAATGCCCTGCCATCATTTTAAGACACTAAAAGAAGCTCATTTAGGTCATGTAGCATAACGATCGTCCATATCCTACCAGCTAGCCCACCACAGGAATCAGATATAAAGAAAAGTTAGTCCTCAGCAGGGGCGTAGGTTTGATTTTAACTTTGATAGGGACACTATTGGTCTGATGTCATTGGTCCTATGCAAAAATATGCACGCTCGTTTTTTTATGCTTGATGGGAAAATCAGGGTGTATTTCATTTAAAGAGAAAAGAAGCATTTCTTGCTACATTTATACAAATTTTAGAAGCACTACACACACTAGATGCTGTTTATCAATGAATGAAGCTCAACTGGCTCTGATGAATGAGGAATTAGGACTTTTTTCCCCTTTGAAAATGTTTGCGTTTAAAATTACCAGCGACTAAGACAGTAGGTAAATCGGTGCCTATTTAACAGAATGTAGTCTAAATATGTCTGTTATATGTGGATTTATACTTTTTTTTATTTTGAAGATATAGAATTGTGCAGAGGTAAATAGAGGTAAAACCCACTCTTTTAAATGTTCTCTTTGTATCATGAAACAAAGCAAAATGAAAGATTCAAGGGACGCCAAATAAATGCATTGTATTTACATGAACCCTGGAACTAGAAGAAGAACTGACACTGAGTATTTAATATATTAACCTCACTCTACAAGTTGTAAATCTAGGATGTAGTTACTCTATTTAACCAATTTCATATATTTTATTTAGGGCTGAAACAATTCATCGGATTAATCAATTATTGAAATAATGTAAAAAAATGTAGTAATCAATTAATCGTTAACTGGAGTATAGAGACTCTAAAACATATCTTTAGCTCACAGAGCGACCCACTTAGAGCAGAAATTATACCCAAATTTTACAGTAAATAAAAATTTTGAATTTTAGACAAAACATGTTTTCGTCTGTCAATATTCTCCATCCAGAACTCCTCTACTGCTGCAACAATGCTGTATTGTAAATTATAAACATGTTATTCACATGTAATTGTTGGTAGGGACAAGTAGGTTGGTCCAAAATTTTGGCAGGGACATGTCCCTATGGTCCCTATGCAAACCTACGCCCATGGTCCCCAGTTAAGGGCTTACATTTAATCAACAGGCTAAGTTGCATGTCCTTGACTCCCGCAGATGTGGCTGAATTATATAAATTCTAGAAAGAAGACTGGGCCCAGGTGTCTCCACTGTCAGGTATTGCATATGTTTTTGGCAGTTTTTGCCGCCAGGGAATTGCACAACCAGTTACCAGCTCTTTCCCTAATAACGAATGCAAATCTCTTGAATACAATGTTTTTATATTTAAACTGGTTCTCTGTTTTTCACGTTAATTAAAAAAAAAACATACATTTTCTATGTAAAAAAACAAAGAAAATGTATTTATTCTTTGGGGGGGAAATATTTTTTTTCAGTGCATTGTACAGTTTAACTCCGACCAACACCCCACTTTAAGTTAAAATATCTCCACTATGTTGATATCAGTTTGGAAAAAGTTGGGATAAATTATATTAACTATGTGTTTAACTGCTAAATAAGATTAAAACAAATGAATTATACTTTATTACTTTTTATTAATCTATCTGAGACAATAAAATTGAAATGTCTGTAAACAACCAAATACCAATTAATATTACTGTGAATACTAAGCAGCTCCAGGTATCAACATGCTTTTTGTATAATGTAAAAAAAAACAACAAAAAAAAACAATAATAGTGTAATGACTGAATTGCTAGATATACGAATGTATTTTCCTCCCTAATCTTGTCAAATGAATTAATTAATTAGAAGCTGCTTGTTTGCAAAACTGTCACTGGCTTTAATTTACAGTACTCTAAATTGAAAAAAGGCAGTGAAGTACTAGTTTTATAATTTGTAAACTCTTTCATTCTAAAATACGCTTCTGGACAAACGATTGCTCCTCCATGGTGCTTAGTTTACAAGAAGGGAGGTATTTACCAAATGCAATCATCTTTTAGCAT